ATCTTCTTTGGTATCTGTATTGATAACATCCATTCAAACATATTTTAAAAGTAAACATGTCAAAAATATTTATAATATATAACAAAGAACAATGTAATAAATACTCGTAGTCAATTCGCCCTTCTCTCTTTCAAACTACGCAACGGATTTTAATTCAGTTTTCACCAGTAGAGAGAGAGAGAGTGATTCAAGAGGCGGGTTCATATGTACAATACATGCATAATGATAGTAGAGAATTTTAAAGATTTGTAATATGAAGTACAAACAAGTTACGTAAAAACATGGGTAAATAATGGGTAATTTACGAAGCTAATTTAAACAATACAGTATTATTCCTTACCCAAATGAATACTTTAGGTACGTTATGCACTAAATGTTGACCAAAATTGCATATTACAGCATATCCTTAAAACTAATATCTTATAGATATCAAAGATTTAAAATGCGGGGACAAAGCGGCTGTGCAGCAGGGTCCTGTAGTATAGTCTTATCATAATAAAAGTATAATTAATACTCCACACTAACACCACATTAGTAGTATCTACATTGCACCCGTGCGAAGCCGGGGCGGATGGCTAATTAACATATCTAGTTAGATAAATAGGTATTTCATAAACATGAAAATGGTTACTCATTTTTACCCGTAGGAGATCGTGCTCATCACAAATGACCTAGATGGGAATTCAAACACGACATCTGGCTTAGCAATCAGGATCACTAACCGCTACACCACTTTTTAATTTTATATGATCCGCCCTTCGATCAAATAGATATAGGTTCCACCTGTGACAACCATACCAATGTAGGTAACGGTAGAACGTCCTTAGAAATGTTGTCTCTGTTCAGCTCTTGACTTTTATGCTGCTATAAAACTTTCCTATAAGTATTAAAAAAGGTATTTACGAGTGATATTATTTGTGTACGTTTATCTTGATACATTAATTACTGATAACTACTTACACAGGGGATATCATCGGCGCCTATCTCCTCAAGACTACTTGTATCTAAGATGATATAAACAATGAAAAGCTTTGACGAAATAAGTTCTTAATAATAACAATTAACAAAGACAAATTCTTTTTTTTTATGTGTAGAGATAGGTTCAATGATATTTATTATTAATTTACAAATATTTGGTTATGGCCTTTGAATTGGAATGTTATTTGAACCTCGTATGAATATGAATACACATATTTTATCCGTCTAGTGTGTGCTAGATTTAATTTACTAGTTCTATTTTGATTCTTCGAAAATATTTGTAAGTCAATAGTTTCGTAAAATAATAATATGCGATGCGTATTTTTTAAACGTGTTCATCGTTCAATGCAGATTTATTTTTAAACAACATTGAGCAAAACTATTAATGTTTACACGAGTTCAATCTAATTACGTCTCCTTTGTTCAGCGACGCGCGGCGGTGCACTGACTTACAAATGGTGCGGTTCATTCGATACAAACATCATTCCGTGGGTGTCGTAAGAGCCGACTAAGGGACAACGACACTGCAAAGAGATAGAAAACTCGTAACAAACCCTATACCAATCCGTGGCCAGCGTGGTATAGTAGGCCAAAACCTCCTTTCTAAGGAGAGACCTGCTATTGATGATGATCCTAATATAGTATAGGACGAATTTGTTTGGTTATTTGGAAGTAATGCATATATAAGAACGTAAAGCGTGCCATGAAATGTGGCACGCTTTACGTTCTGGGGTCATCAATATCTCGCTGTTATCATGCCACTCTTATAACAAATTACATAAGAAAAACGGTTATCAAAACTGACGGCTCAGTTTTTTTGTGTTCCTGTTTTGAGTAAGTATTAATAATGTAAGTACGTTGTAAATGTGTTATTTTATTTTTCAAAAATATCTTTCAAAAAATTTATTCACAGTAAGTAGTAACCGTGGGAGAGCCATGCTTCGGCACGAATGGTCCGGCTCGACCGGAGTGATACCACGGCCTTACGGAAAACCGGTGTTAAGCAATTCTTTCGTTGCCTTTCACTGAGTGAGTGAGGGAGGACCTCCTAGGGCAGCAACGCACTTGTGACTTTTGAGTTGAAGGTTATGTTGAGGGCGGCAGTAGTTGCTTACCACGAGGTGACCCGTCTGCTCGTTTGCCCACTTTTACCATAAAAAAAGTAGAACTTGTTTTCCTGTTTCCCTAGATATCGCTAATAGTGAAAAAATATGGTTTAATTTAAAAACTTGACAAACGAAACAAAAACAGGCAATGGCTCCTTGCCTATTTTTACACGCTTTATATTAGCTTCACTTGTATGTTTGTAACCGACTCCTCTGGGCGTGATGTTGACTTTAAACGGTCAGAATTCGTTCAAACTTTGTAGATGTATCGAGGACCTATGACAATACACTAAATAAAAAAAAAAAGGGTGCCTGTTGTCAATAGTAAAAAGCACCCCATGCTTTTTTTCAAATTTATTTTCTATTTTTTAGTTTGGTTTTCTATAGAAAGCGTGTTTTTTAGTTTTTTAAAGCTATAATTTTATTTTTATTTTTTTATCCATGTTGCCAGGCTTCTAAAATGCACTAGTGTAGGAGTACTTCTTCACCCTTAAGTCTTGACCATTATAATAATTTATGTATATCCTCATATTTGACCCCGTGATCCGTCTTAGATAGTATAAAAGTATAAAGTTAGCAAAGTGCAGTTAAGGTATAGGTTAAATTTTTTTTACAATTTTGTGTTAGGTAGCTAAAACAAATAGGCATAATGTTATGTTAGTTGAGTGAATTTACATTTGCCTTCCTATAGAATAGTTCATTCCGGAAATTTGATATCCCATTTATTACGTACTCAGACCACGTCATTCAGTATAGTATCATACTAATGATTATATATTGAATGTAATGATTTGTAATGTTTTTTTTTAAATTTGAGCTAATTTACGTATTTATTTTTGGTGTTAATCTTTTTTTATTTTTGTTTAATAATTAGTAATTAATAGCGAGTATTTTAGGACCACAGAATTGTTATATATGATCTTGTATCTAATCTAATAATAAGTAAAGATTTATTTTCAAAAAGTACCTAGTAGGCAGGCTCAGAGATAGGGTTAGAGACAATTTTAGATTTTCTTTTCTCTTTCTTAAAAAAGACAACTCCCGCATTAGGAAAATATCCTGTGTCGCGGGGGACTTTACAAACATACATGAAACGGACACAAAGAACACCCAGACTCAGAACAACAATTTGTGGATCACACAAAGTGTCGTCCCATGTGGGGTTTGAACCCACAACACTCGGCGTAGTGGGAAGCGGCGTGGCGACCGCTTAAACCACTACGCCATCCGTGCAGTCAAAACTATTAATTAAAACATTGAAAAAAATGTGATCATAAGACAGGCGTATAAACTATCTATACATAATTCGAGCCCGCAGTACCCTTTAAAAGAAAATAAACTACTACCTATAGATATTTTTTACAATTCAAGTAGTTGATAATGGTAATAACTACGGAAATAAATAAAAGTAAGATTATTCCTAAATATTCCTCATACCTCTACTGTATTAGCTTTGAATTAATCAATTTATTATCATTTACATAACTATTTATAGGTATTATTATATGAATTAAGTACGTCAATGCGAAGAGCATTCGGTGGAGTCGGTTAATCCATGATTAAACTTAATGCACTAAAGTACGAAGACGCAGTCAAGATAACAGTTTGATAATGAGAGCGGTTATCACTTATCACCTCATGGCGCGGCACGACGATGTGGGCTTGGCAGTGTAAACGCGAAATTGTGCGTCGTAGTTACTTGATGCTCACACACAACAATTATTATGAAGTGAAAATAATGAACTTGATTCACATTAACAATTCATAATAATATTGCCATACTTCCATACTATGCATACTAATATTAAAAATACGAAAGTATCTGTCTGTTTGTCATCACTTCACGCCTAAACCGCTGAACCGATTTAGATCAAATTTGGTATGGACATACTTTTATTCTTGAGGAAGGACATGAGGAAAGAGCGGAGCCGCGGGCAAAGGTTATATTTTGTGGTTATGTGAAAATGCCTAATTTCTCCTTTCCTTGGTAAAGACTTACTGTAGTAGGGTAAATAATATTAATTAGATAGGTCTGGTACCTCTGGTACCAACCACAAAATATAAGTTAACATGCGCTAAATACCTACCTAATTATTTTATCGACATAGTGAGGAAAACTGGGAGGCCAGTAAGTACTGCAAATATCCAAGCCTAAATCAAATAAAATAAAATAATGTATGTACCTACCTATATAAGTTGCTTGTGTTAGAGGGATTTTGTTTGAGCATAATATTGATTGTATTAAATAGGTACGCGATTTATAAAGGTTATTTATACGTATTTACAATAGTTCAATATGCAGAGTGTCCCGTGTGTACAACGTATGTACAAAATGTACATAACATTTTGACAGACGACCTAGTGACCGACGTAACGGGTATCCCTTGACGGAAGTTCACGAGTGAAACTTTCGAGTCTACTAATTTAAAAAAATATATAAATATGGGTACAAATCAAGCATGACATGTATCTAGTGCTTACCTATTTAAAATGTATAGATGTAAAAATAAGAATTATTCTAACGTTTTTGGCCAACGTTTCACTACACTGTATAATTTTGCACCGGCATATCGTCGCACATTTTTTACGTATGTATTTTTTTAATTTAATATAATATATTATGTGAGAAATCTACAGATGACCGCGACCATCGGCTGACCTCGTATGGGTCGACAGTGTAGACGGAAAATTGTAGCGACCGAGGTGACGCGAGTGCCGCAGCCAACTGGCGATTTGCCCTACGGCGCGCGACCACAGCTCGAGTATAAAGTTCACTTCACTCTTCGCGAAGACATGGTAAACACCTTAGTTTTTCGCGCGTTAAACACATTTAAGAATATGCAAAGTACGCGCGCTAACAGTTATGTAATTGTGAAACTATAAAGGGTGATAAGTAGTAGGTATTGAAATACATACTGCAACGTGGTTGCTCTGGTCTTCCACCTCCCTGGTGATTGGATCACTCGCACCACTCATGTTATCACGACGCACGTGCTACCCGGCGGCCACGCAGATGACTGAGTGCGCGTCGTTTACGCTTGCGCTGTATTTCTGAACTCGCTTCTGATAAACACCACAGGCTTTGGCTAATCAGAGGTGATTTCCACATTTTTGAAATGGACCTATGCCTGTTTAAAATAATATCTAATCAGTTTTGTATGTAAGAAAGATTGATAATACTGCATTCAAATATCCTACTGTACACCGACTGTTACCGGACTGTACCTACTATACTGTACCCGTACTCTACACATATGTGTATACACATAATCTACAAGGTAATAAATTTAATAAACTGAAATATACTGAAATTTCTAATTGAGTAAATTAGAAATTCTTAGAATATTTCTACATCCAAGAACAATTAAGATTTATTTAAGAAAGCAATCTTCTAGCACATGCGAGTTGGCAACTCAACGAATATAAAAATTTGATTTCATAGGTCCTATTTATTGAAGGCAGCCTATGTCTGTGTAACAATATCTAAAACATGCAACGATTGAAATAAATATAATAATCAAACTAATTTTATTACCTACACCCAAAAATTGAGCCATGAGCTTTTCTTACGAAATAATTTGTACTAAAAAATCTTTTTACATAACATACCTACGCTGAATTGTCTTTCATATAGAAATCTAAATTCTGAAGAAGACAATGCACTTTAACTTTTAATAAACGGGTGCATAATATGCTCTCATAGACAATTTTCAGGCACTGTGAGAACTGAAAAACCGTACAATTACTTACTACGCTTGTGCCTGCCTCGAAGGGAAGTTGTTCAGTAGTTGCTTCCTTCCTCCGAGCTTTTATTTCTAGGTTGGGGTCAGCTTTAAGTCTACTACAACACGGCTGAGCTTTGATTTTTTACGCGAAGCGACCGCCATCAGATCTCCACTACCCAAATACTAGGCGCGATTTCTAAGTTCTGTAGAAAGACTGTTGTCGGGCCTTTAGAAGTAGTTTAGTAGTATGAATAAAGAATAGTCAGAAGTATGAAGCAATGTACTTCACACTAAAAATAATATGATAAGATAATTCTGTGCACTAGCAGAGAAACACAACAGGCAATCAGATTTATAAATAGGCGAGGCATAAAATACCTGTCATGAATTGTTTGATAGTGAAAAATGGATTAATTTGCAAGGATTAATATGTATGCAATTCTCGCTGTAGATACCACGTTTGCTGATATCACAATATAACTTAATATTTAGTGACGTTAAATTAATCACATACATGGAATTCATTAATCCACATTGATTTTCAAACTGTAGGAAGGTGCCAAAGGATGTTTAAGTTACGTAAGTCATACTGTTTACAAATTTTTGTTGATCTCATGACTTGTCAGGATACCTGTCGCAATCGTCGTCGCCTCTTTACTATTTCTCTATGATAGAAAACGATCATAGAGTACCTCATAATTTTTTATCTAAAATGTTATAGCGAAACAACCATGGTTAAGTTCAGAGCAATATATTTTCTCAAATGTTGCTGGTGTTTGGGGCACACAACAGCAATATTTCAGAAAATTTGCAGTAGGTAAAATTTAATTAATATTTATACAAATGCTGCCTCTTTGTTAAAACTTTACCTACTTATATAACTAGATATTTATAAAAAAGAACCACCAGTTTAATTCATATACTTAAAACGTACGGTACATTATGGAAACGAAAAATACAAGTGGCTGATCCAATCAAAATGTATTTGTCTTCAGCAGGTACATGATTTTTAATACGTACTAGTAAATCGTTATACTATTCTCTAACACTTTGGTTATTTATTTATTTATTTATTTGGTCAGCCAACGATTATTACACTAAACATTACAGAATTAACTTAAAGACTAAACATGTGTGAGTGCAATAATCACTTACAGGCTAACACCACATGCACTTAAAATGCGATGCAGATGGCGTGGTAGTTTACTGGTTATCAACTGCCTTGCCACCAAAAACAAAATGAAAATTGCTACTGCCATTCTCATTCAAATTTATTTTTTAAGAAATAGGGTTTTATCATCAACAATTTTTGCATTTATTTTATGGTCTCTACTTCGCTCCTTAAGAACGCAGCGTGATATTAAATTTCCTATAACCTTCCACAATCGATAACAGACACAAGAGAATATATATATACATATATATATATTAATTATGTTTCGTGGTAATATTGCTAAATTGTCAAAATGGGTAATAATAGAGGATAGAGTAGAGCCTATGTCGCCTTGCAAGGTTACGTTTTTCCTTTTCACAGTTTAAAAAACCACTACAAGAATTGTCACATCATCCTCACGCCAATATACACTATATTATTGGATATACGGTTTCAGATGTTCAATCCCAACATAGATTAGATAGACGTCGCTAATAAACGAGTAATCAATTTATGGCTTTCTTTACTAACTTTATATTATCCATGTACGTATGTTCTACCATATTGGTCATATTTATGCCATTTATCAATCTATACTAATATTATAAAGCTGAAGAGTTTGTTTGTTTGTTTGTTTGTTTGTTTGTTTGAACGCGCTAATCTCAGGAACTACTGGTCCGATTTGAAAAATTCTTTCAGTGTTAGATAGCCCATTTATCGAGGAAGGCTATAGGCTATATATCATCACGCTATGACCAATAGGAGCGGAGCACCAATGAAGAATGTTTCAAAAACCGAGAAAATTTATTACTATTGAGAGACGCAGACGAAGTTGCGCGGGTCAGCTAGTAAAACATAAAAATGAACACATTACATATTAATTTTAGACAGGTACCTAGCGCCATCTATTCTAAACAATCATAACTTTTTTAACGATACAAAAGCACGATGCAGATGGCGTGGTAGTTTACTGGTTATCAACTGCCTTGCCACCAAAAACAAAATGAAAATTGCTACTGCCATTCTCATTCAAATTTATTTTTTATGAAAAAGGGTTTTATCATCAACAATTTTTGACGGGCCTGTTGGTCTAGTGGTTAGTGACCCAGACTGCTAAACCGGAGGTCGTGGGTTCGATTCCCACCCAGGACAAATCATGTGTGATGAGCACCGTCATTTGTTCTGTGTCTGGGTGTAATTTATCTATCATATGCATGTATTTAGAAATATATAAGTATGTTTATCAGCGGTCTGGTTACCATAGTACAGGCTCTGCCTAGTTTGGGATCAGACGGCCGTGTGTGTGTGTGTGAGATATATATTAAAAAAAACACACCACTAAAGTCATAAACCGAAATAAGTACAAATAAGTACCTTAATTATGTTTACTTAATTGTTTGCAACTAACAGAAACGTATAACTTGTCCTAACTGTTAAATTTAGTCGACAAATACTCAAGTTGGAACATAGGATTTTTTTTCTATATTTAGGCAAGTAATAACCAGAAACATATAACTGCATATTTAAAAAAAAGCGTGTGTGCCAGTTCCGATGCACGACTGGAGTTTGCTTCTTAAGAACGATTTGACTGCACACAAGTATACACGTTATACACACACATTACTAAAAAGTGAAAGTTGAGCATGATAGGATGCGCACAAAAAGCGCAACGATGTCATTCAATCACGAAATTTTACTCTTTTTATTTTCTGCACACCGGGTTCCTTATATGAAATAGGGATGCTCGATAATCATCGATTTTCGATGATCATCGATGTTAAAAGATAAAACATCGAAATTGTATTACACAAAACATCGTAACATCGAGGACACACACAGAATCGAAATCTATCATTTTTATGAAGACACAATGGTATCAGCCACATTGGGAGTGTATGAGTTAGCATACCGCTGAATACATTGGAAGGGCTGCTGTTATTAACTTGGCTGATAGGTATAAATAAAGTATTGGCATTGGTAACTGATAGTCTAGCAAATGTAGTGAAAGTTATTGATATTGCGTTTGGCAAAAAAGTCCGTCATTTCTTTAGCCCACTTGCTCAAATTAGTGGCGCTTGATAGCACCCGTTAAAAGAATAGACACGTGGTTCAAGCAATGTGTTGCAGCAAGTGATGATCTACGGAAACAATCCTAACTGAAACTGATTACTTTAAAACTGCGTCCAGCTATTAACCACATTGTAAACTGCCATAACAGTGCTCCTCCAATTGTAAACACCAAATAGATAGAAGAACTGACTGAGATCGCAACTCGAGAGGCATGAGGAGAAAACTTTGTTACCAGCAGCAAAGTCATTCCTTTAACGGGAATGCTAAATTTGTAAATCGACGACGGTCTGCACGCAAAACACGTTGAATTAAAAAAATCATGCGATTTTATGGTCGTTTTATTTATTGTTGAGTGTTTGCAAAAAACATCGATGTTTTGTGCTTAATAAACATCAAGTATCGATGTTCTGCTATCGATGTCATTATCCATGCCATCATCGATTTTTTTGCTAAATCGATCACCCCTATATGAAAATCGATTCTTAAGGAGTAAACTCTAAAAATCCATATTAACTATTCCTAAATCAGTATCAAAAGCCTTTTGTCTTGAGAAATGAATAATCATAATCACATTTGCGGCAAGAAGATACTAAGATAAAACTTTAGAGGCATTTCTCCACAAATTATAGAGTACCCAACGTTTGTTAGTCAGTCGGTTAATCACGTAGTCACCACGCAGCTATAGTGTACGGATTTGTATTTTATACGTTTCGATTATTTCGTATATCGATAATTTGCAAAAGATTGGATGCATTATATTCGGTTACCGATTACCGGATGAGGCAATTGCCCCAAGAATCTAATGCTATGCTACCCATTGAATCTAATTGTTTCAATATAAGTTACTTCACGAATATTCCTAACTGCGTAATTTGCAGACCTACAAAATGCGGTAGTAAACATCTTATTTGATGCTCTGCAACGCCAAGATTATGATAAACTTAAAATATATTTTATTACAAAAAAAATAGAATAAGACCTAACATTTCTATTCATTAATACCCGTATAGAGGCGCTGACTGTAGAATTATATGAATCGAGTACTGTGTATATATTGTATTAATGAGGCATAATATCTAATAGGCTATCTACTATGTATAATCATCATCATCATCAACAGCCTTTAATAGTCCACTGCTGGACATAGGCCTCTCCTTAGAAAGGAGGTTTGGCCTACTATACCACCTACAATGTATGTATGTACCTATACCTATGTATAATAAATAGAGAGAATATAGACGAGTAATATAATTCGTTATATTTACAACACTTAATAAAGTTGTGAATGCTAGTAGAATTACATTCACTTTTAAATAATGTTAATGCATTTACTGTAAGAACATCTACTATCCAAAGCGTCTATAAAAATGTGTTAGAACGCATATAACGGCGCTTGTGGGTTCATTTACTTTTTAATGGAACCTGTAAAATAATCACACTGTAACGTGTCAAATATCGTGGGTTGAATAACCTGCTTATTAAATTGTTGCAACACAAATCGAGTGCCGATTTTAGTTGAAAAGTTGTTCATAATCTTTCTGACATTTCTCCATATATGAATAAGCTTACTTGCATTTTCTATATTTATTACCACTAGACGAACCGATTCAATCTGCAAGTAAGTAAGAAGCCCCATATCTACGTCTCCTATGTCATCATCATCATCTTAGTCTGATTATATTAGATCTTTACCTATGAAATTGCCGTTTTGTATGCAATAAGTGAAAGTACTTATTTTTTCAAACTTTTTATTTCTGTTATTCGAAGTAATCACCCATGCAATCGACGCATCTTTGCCAACGCATTGGCAGCCCTTCTTGTAAAAATCAGCTGGACAGGAGGCAACAAACTCTTCAAAGGCATTTTGTACTGCCTCTCGGGAACCAACCAAAAAAGTTGTCTAAATTTTGGAAAAAGTAATAGTCGGTAGGTGCAAGGTCTGGTGAGTATGGCGGATGAGGGAGAGCTGTATGGGGTCGCGCGTTGTCGTGAAGGAGCAGTGGGGACGACCGATTGAAAAAAGCTGGTTGCAGATGTGACCACCAGACCTTGTACCTACCGACTATTACTTTTTCCAAAATTTAGACAACTTTTTAGTGGGTAAAAAATTCACTTCCCGAGAGGCAGTACAAAATGCCTTGAAGAGTTTGTTGCCTCCCGTCCAGCTGATTTTTACAAGAAGGGCATCAATAAACTGCCAATGCGTTGCCAAAGATGCGTCGATTGCATGGGTGATTACCTACTTCGAATAACAGAATTTAAAAAGTTTGAAAAAATAAGTACTTTCACTTATTGCATACAAAACGGCAATTTCATAGGTAAAGACCTATTATTTCAACCTTCATTGCGTGACTTCGACAGCAATGGAATTGACCTGAAAATATACTATAATATATGTATATACTATAGTGTGTATATACTATATGTACTTTTGACGGGCCTGTTGGTCTAGTGGTTAGTGACTCTGACTGCTAAACCGGAGGTCGTGGGTTCGCTTCCCACCCAGGACAAATATTGTGTGATGAGCACGGTCATTTGTTCTGTGTCTGGGTGTAATTTATCTATAATATGTATGTATTTAGAAATATATAAGTATGTTTATCAGCGGTCTGGTTACCATAGTACAGGCTCTGCCTAGTTTGGGATCAGACGGCCGTGTGTGAGTGTGTGAGATATATATTATTATTATTTTATTATATAGTTTAACGTAGTATAGGCATAGGTAGTGTAGACTACGTTATACGTTATATTCTCTAGGCTGACATACAAGCAGCTTACTAAGATCCTCCTTTCTTAAAGTTTTTGCCAAATTTACTTACTTAAATACTTTCGATCGTGTATGTACCAAATGAAAGCGAAAAAAAAATTATATTTGTGATGATAATCTTGGTTACAATCTAACCAGGAGGACTTTTCACACTCCATGGAGAAAAAAAAAACATGTTAGTTTCGAGCAAAAGTTTCTGGATTTCGAGGAATGGGATGGGATTGTGGGGTTTCATGATATTTCTCGACTCTTGGCACCCGAATCCTAATGCATACCAAACGTACATAATACATATATTATTACGTATGGACATGCATACGTAAGTGTAAAAATGTTAATTTACATTTTTTAATTTTAAAAAGTTCAAGTGCATTAATTTGCCAATTTTGTATTGTGTGGATGCAGTTTACTTTCTAAATTTGTGCCAAAGGTATTATTATGCACTGATCAACGGATAAATGCATCAGTTCGGCATATTTTAATTGAATAAAAAATTTAATAAAATAAATTGAATTTGTGATCTCAGATCAAATAGTTGTGATAAAAATTTCCTTTGGAACGTTTCCATTCACTCATTCATTTTTGGTTTATTTGAAAATAATTTTAAAAGATGTCTTTCATATTTCATTATCTTGCCTTAACAAGTAATATTAATAAACTATAGTAAAGCTAGGCACTAAATATTATAATTGAGAAGTTTGAGAACTTAAGGTGAAATTTTGGAACGAACGGAATGTGATCGTCGTCGGCCATGTTTTGCACAACAACATTACGTCGTCGCATAGTAAACGTCAACTATTCGTTTATGATTATCTGAAATTAACTATAGAGGCATTCGTTTTAAAATCACTTTGTTTTATTTCCCAATTTAATTAAATGATAAAATGAATCGAAGCGAGGGGTTGGTGCAACGAAGAAACGTACTAAAAGAAAATACTGACGGAGCAATAAAGGAAAACCACGACGTCGATGATAAGAAAAATGATAAAAATTATGATGACGGGGATTCTAAGGAAACTAGATTGACACTCATGGAAGAAGTGTTACTTTTAGGACTAAAGGATAAGGAGGTACAGTATCAGATCAGTTATGCAAAGTAACAGTAATAAAATATGGATGTCGTGACTGAGTATTTATTCACATCTGATGGACGTTTCAGGGTTACACATCATTTTGGAATGATTGCATATCCAGCGGTTTAAGAGGATGTATTTTAATTGAATTGGGCCTGAGAGGCCGCGTAGAATTAGAAAGAGCTGGAATGCGTCGAAAAGGATTGTTATCTAGAAAAGTAATAGTAAAATCGGGTAAGTGAGAGAAAGGGGTAATTACTTTTATTGCGTTTTACTATTTCTAAAGGTCTTTATGATATTTAAAAGTTAGCATGCACATTTCATGTCTTGTTGCTTAGAAATTACGGTACTGAATGTATTGACAAAACAATGGCATACTAATTTCGACCATTCATGTTCTTAATGGGACAATGTTTACTCCAATAACTATGGTGCAACTCATAAGTTGAATGTACGCTAACTAGCTACTAATGTCCAAAGGGAAGTGATATGCTGATAAGAGTTCTACAAAAACAGTACTATGTTTATTAGACCAAAGAAATAAAAAAAGTATTTTTGTATTTCAGATACTCCTACTGGTGATGTTTTGCTAGACGAGGCTTTGAAACACATGAAAGATACAGATCCACCAGAATCAGTGCAAAGTTGGATAGAATACCTTAGTGGTATGTAGATTTAATATTTTTTTGTACAGAGTAGACGCCAAGATTACTAAAATGGTCCTGATTAAAAATGCCTTAAGGGATATCACTCTAGTTATTATGACTGTTATTTAAAAAAACCTCATGAATGATGAATAAGTTTTCAAAGTTGACTTTCAGTTGTCTTAATTCCAATGTTTTGTATAGTACTAGCTGTACCTTGGCACACTTCGCCGTAAACATAATGGAAAAAATTGCTAAAGCAATCTGAAGCAGTTTGTAAATAGTGTCAAAATTTGAGGTCAATGGTTGCAGAACTTTTTGAGTTTTTTAAAGCATATACAAACTAAATTAAAATTCATATAAATATAAGATTAATCAAGACTGGCATCAGATCTGTATTCCATGATGAATTCAGTGCCACATTATGAAACATTGTAGGCAGTTTGTGATCTTTGACATTAAGTATACATTTACATAAAGCTGTATACACTGTGAACACAACTACACTCAGTGAGTAGTAGTTTTGCTGAGTATCGGGTAACCATATACCATATCAATGTGGTACTTGGTAGAAGAATACTCAAAAAACATATTTGGTTGGCTAGAAATACACTTCTTTGCTAACCTACTGCTGCAAAACTTATTATTCTCTATTATCTGTATATCCATTTACAAGTACAGGCAATGAGTTTTTACAGACACAAGTGTTATAATATAAAAGATTTAAAAAATATAATGCTTAATGTAAACTAATATTACAGTTTAATATATTATACTACTAGAGTATAATTTAAATAATTTGTTTTATTTTTGCATTCTTTAACAAAACATTGTGTTTTCCAACTATAAATATTTTTTCTTAAATCCAGTTCCACAAAAGTTTTGTTCCAGCTTCTGTATCTGATACAATAATAATATACTAATAGGTCCATACTCCCAGGTCTCTATTCAGATATAATAATTTTTAAGTACTGATAATATGATAATGATGATAAACTAAATATTTTTATAAATACATGTAACCTCATGTAACCACACTATGTGACCCATTCAGGGGGAGGTCTTTAAAATACCATGCTTGGTCACAGAGGTTGGGGAAGGCTTATGTTATCATCACACACTTAATTAAATTACTTATATTTAACCAAATTATTTTTATTACATTCTATTTGCAAAGAGATATTTAAAACCTTATTAATTTAAAAACTAGATTGAGAGGAGTGGTTCTTAGCATATGCTACAGGTGGTTACAGAGGGGAGAGAGGGGACTAATAAATTATAAAAAAGGGTCACATAGTATGGAAATCTGCCCTTAACTTTGTTTATGAATCAAGTAATTTCATTTTCATACTTACGGCTAAATTATGCTAAATGTGTTATTTAGCACAGGTTGTTTTAAATTTATAAATTTTCGGTTTACATTGTAAATGTTATATGGGATATAAATAGCACATAAACTTCCTTATCAAGTTGTAACATTGGCTCTCTATTAAAGTCAACCATCATTACAATCACGGCAAGTAAATAAACTATAAAATGTCAAGTTCATGTCAATGTCAGTGAAAGTAGTATTAATCTATGAACTTACTTTTATAGTGTAGGTACTACATATTATAAAAGAAGGATAGGTCTATGTATGGATTAGTGATGTATTGATTGTTAAAAAATTATATCGGTGGATATGGATTTGGACTTACTGTTGTTGGATTATTAGTGTGTAGATTATTATTCCTAATATGGACAACAGGTAATGCCAATATTCATAATCTTATTATGACAGTTAACATTGAGTACTAATATCACGAAATATTTTCTATCTAAATATCCTGTACTGAGCGTTTATTTATATAAAAGTTAAAATGTACTATGAAGGCTTGCAATTTCATGGAATTAAAAATTGTTGAAAAATATCTTATACGGGGGCTGCTATTTATGTATCCGGAATAACAAAGTGAAACTAATATATAGCATTTATTATAGTTTTATTGCTTTTCAAAACATTCGACGTGATGATCAATGCACTTTTGGATACGTTGGAACCAATTTTCGTAGCACTTTGTCCATTCTGATTGTGGTATCTCCAAAACGTGCATTTGGAACGCATCAACAGCCTCTTCACGGCTCGAAAAACGTTGACCACGTAATTTATTCTTCACGGTTGGGAATAAGAAGAAGTCTTTGGGGGCCAAGTCGGCTGTACGGCGGATGACCCGTCAACTCGATCTTTTGATCTTCCAAAGACTTGTTTTGGCCGTTGTGTGGCAGCTAACATTGTCATCATGAAGAAGGATTCTGCGTTTTCCGTTATTTTTTCTTATTTCTTAAAAGAATTCTGGCAAAGAAATGGTCGTGTACCATTCAGAATTAATCGTTTAACGATCCTCTAGTGGCACTGTAGCCACAAGCGACCATTTGCTTAAAAGTGCTTTTTGAACGAATGACTTTTATTGGGTTCGGCTCATCTTGGACCACCCAAACCGTTGTTTGTTCTTTAGTTTCAAGATCATACGCATATATCCAAGATTTATCACCTGTGTAGATAATATAGACAGCTTTTGACGCACCCTGATTGTACTTTTGTAACTTTTTTTACACCAATCGACACGAGCCCGTTTTTGGTCAATTCTCAAGTTGTGTGGAATTCAACGTGAACACTTTTACTTTTTTTTATTTTACAGCTAAATGTTCGTATAATATTTTATATATACTCGTCATACTTATTCCCAGAGACGCCTCTATCTCGCGATATGTAACATGACGATCTTGCATTATTAGTTCCCGCACATCATCAATATTTTGAGGTACAGCCACCGCTCTCGATTAAACTCACTAAACTAGTGATACACAGTTGTTTTTTATGGTACTTCGTCCCCAAAAGTCGAAGTAAGTTGATCGATGCCTTGTTTTTGAGTAAGCCCTCGCCAAAAATCGTAATTAATCATAATACGAAGATTTTCACGAGTTAAATCCATAGTGATAAAGAAACGCAATTTTCAAAATTACACCACAGAGGATTAACAAATGACAGATACATGAAACAAATTTTATTCTTTAACCAAAGAGTTCCATTTTTAAATGTTATAATAACTTTTTTAATATTGTTCTGTGACTGGTCAGTTCCAGATACATTAATAGCAGCCTTCTTAGCTGTTAACAATGTTAGTAACTCACTACATTAGACATATAAATATTTAATTTAGCAAAATTAAGAATTTTATAAACGTAACACATAAAATATAATGACATTACAATGGACACTACAATCTAAAAGACATTGGCAACCTCTATTCGAATACGCCTTACCAGGGCCCCAATTCTGCTATTTTAATATTGTATCAATAGACTGTCGATGGAATGTCGTCGGAATAGTTTTACACTTTTTGTATTCTACGAAATATGTAAGACCAAAATGGCCTCCCGATGTCGTGTTACTGAACTGCCACTGATAAAAGTGTCGTCGATGGCTTTGTAATAGTTTGGTAAACCATACATTTTAAATTTGTAATGTAATGATATGGCAATGTTGTTGATATCACCCTTATCAATGGTGATATCAACAACATTGCCATTGTCACTACATGGACAGTCTATTGACACCGTGAATTTATGTTAGTAGAATACTGATATTTTGACCGATGTCAATGGCATCTCAGTAGCGTGTCAATGTTGTGACAGTGGCTTGTACGTTAACATAAAGGCTGTTTTTTAGAGGCAGAGAACATTAAAACCGAAATAAATAACAGAAAAATGTTTAAAATATTCATGAAATTGGCTTCATTTGAGAGATGATTTTATGGCATTAATGTTTGAATATAATTTCGGGCATGTGGCCCGCCGCGGCTCTCGCGTACATTGCTTAATCTGGATGTCCAATTTTCACATACTCTACTCAGTAATCGGGTATCTCAGCAATGACGCGTCGAATGTTGGCTTCTAAGTGCACGTAATGCTCGATGAGTTTCTCGAACCAAACCGTGTTTTTTAAAATAAATTTGAACAACTTGCAAGCGTTGCTCCAACGTGAGTCTATCCATGATAAATTGCCAAACCAAACTAACCTCAAATTAACGTAGAACACAATACATTTCTATTTTCTAGTGAATGCTAATTCAATTATTTTTCTTTTATAGATTTATGTATAAAACGCTATTTATATACATAAAACTTGTGTACTTTTGTTCTATATATGAAGACAGGAAATTTTGCTATGCTATAAATACGCCATAAAACACAATTTGTATTGTTTTGATTTTAGAGGACTGTATTACGTATGTAGATAACAAACAAGGTAGATACGCACTTTAATTCCTTCCATTAAACATATTTTTATGATGTGATATATTATTTTCAGGAGAAACATGGAACCCCATGAAATTAAAATATCAATTAAAAAATGTTCGTGAGAGGTTGGCGAAAAATCTTGTTGAAAAAGGAGTGTTGACAACAGAGAAACAAAACTTTTTACTGTTTGATATGACCACCCATCCTCTAACTGATAATGTGGTAAAATGTAGATTGGTAAAAAAGGTAACTATTGCTTCGCTTCCTTATTCAGAAATATTATTAGTCTATGATAAACTTATCAAAACCTTTTTAGATTATTGATAAATATATTTGGACATGTTTTGTTAATAGCAGAACATTGTAAAAGTATTCGTTACACTTCATGTTATTAACGTGTCTTACGTAAACAGATTACAATTTATAAAATTCACATATTATTATTTACATTTATATCGACTTAAAGATATTTTATTTCATACAACATTCAGTTACAATATTCCAAACATAAACTCATATTGAATTACATAAACAACTAGCCATAGCCTACCATGCTTTGTTGTGACACATTGTGGTTGCATTGATGAGAAATGAAGAACAAAAATAACGCGAAAAATAGATAAAAACTATCTTTGATGCGGTTTTTATATCGTGTCAAAATTTGAGTTCAATCTGTGCAGAACTTTTTGAATTTTAAATCGTACTCAAACAAAGTTAACATTTATATATGTATATATATAGAAGACGGACAGATACGCGTATATATGTTCACAATAGATGTGAGTTCGTGTGATGTTTCAGGTGCAGGAGGCGGCGCTGCGGCGCTCCATCACGGACGTGGCGCACGCCGACAAGCGGTCGCTGGCGCTATTGATGCTGGCGCACTCGGCGGACGTGCTCGAGAACGCTTTCGCACCGCTCTCCGACGAGGACTACGAGCTAGCCACGAGGCGAGTACGTTCGCTACTAGATCTGGATTTCGAGGCAGAAGCGATGCGACCGGACGCCTGTGAAATTATGTGGGCAGTGTTCGCGGCGTTCACTAAATAGCGGCAGCGTGTGCTGTTCACCTGACTATTGGCAACTAGACAAATGGTAAATTTGTGTGGGATTAAAATAAATGTTTAGGATCCATTAATATTCGTTAAATTATGTCAAAATAAACAATAAGTGACATAAAAATAGTAGCCAACTTATCGTCTAAAAAGTTTGATGTGTATTCCTAAATGCTATTTTCATAGTCTGGTGAAATAATCCTGTACAAAACACGATCCTACTATCATCTTCACATTTTATTTGAACCAGTATTAGTTCATTCGTTCATTAAAATATGTATGCGGGTAGCAGTGGCGAAGGAAAAATAGCCGATTAAACCTAACATAGGCTAATTTATTATGTGTCTGCGAAATAACCTTATATAAATGTTAGTTTGAACATCTTAATTACGATGTGATTTTGTAAGAAGATTACGTATAAAGAAAATAGTATAAAGAAAAGTATACTATATACTGTTCGCCACTAGTGGAGAGTAAAAACAAAAAATCACACATGGTTCCACAATTTATTTGTTTTTAACATGATTTTAATTTCAATTAAGAGTAGTTCTAAATTATTTTTATCATTTATTGTAGCACAAAATTTTATAAATATTTAATTTGGTGTTTAAAATAATAAGTCCTGCAAGATATGTATAAACTTGCACAGTTGGATTATGACAGTGGATTCATAAAAAAAGAAAGATGAATGAGTTTATACTGATTGGATTAATAAGAAAATTTACACTATGTGCTTGTAAATTCTAAGGTTCAGTACACACTAGAGATTATTAAAATCATGAGTGGCTAGGGAATCAATTAGGTTAAGCAATGCAATTCATGACAAAATATTAAACAGTATACCACACCTCTATTATACACGTATTCCTGCAAATGAAATGCAACAGAAATATCTAAATAAACATCCTAGTTCTATACGTTTAAATAGTTTATTTGTTTTATGTGGTTCTTAGTCAGAGAAACTTTGTAGAACAAAATGATAACATACTAATTTTGGATAAGTGCAACAGAAAAGTCATAAATTTACTAGTGAATAAAATGTGACTTCGTTTAATAGGAAGGATTTCGGACGTAATGTGAAGGCGATGAGTTTCAAAATCACCAATTTATCATGAGAAGCAGGTTAAAGAGCTCTGCGCGCATTAGATACGCATAATGATTCATTTTAAACGAGGAGGGAATTTAAAAAATCTGAGTTTAGATGCCATATGTAAGACTGTTAACAAGTGATAATGGCTGCCCTACAGAAACAGCGCTGTAAAGCCTGCTGTTTGCAAGCAAGACCCTGTGTGTTTTGGACTTAATAAAATCTATGGTTTTATTTTAATTGTGCCATCTGACTATAAACTGAGGTTTATAATGACTACGACATTGACATTAGATCACCATAGACAGATTCAAGGCAATTTTTATAATCTGTATTAAAAAATCTGAAATCATATTTAAAAAAAAAAACAACTAGACTGCTAAGAGAAGGTACTGAAGCAGCGTTGGATACATTAGTATACTTTAAACAACCACAAAAATCCACACACCGCTGAACCGCCTCAAACTAACATCTGCTACAGTCCTGCTACTCTCATAGTATGACTTCACGAACCGTGATGCGGAGTGACAGATGTGACCGATAAAAATAATTTGTAACATGAAATTTTAAGTCTTTCCACAGAGTCATTTGTCATGAATACTGCGTTGACATTCTATTATTATAAACTGGCCGACCCACGCAACTTCCTCTGCTACTATCGTAAGGAATCATTTTTCTCCGTTTTTGGAAAAAAAAAAAACATCTGATTCTCGGCTCCTATTGGTTATAGTGTGATGTTATATAGCCTGTACCTTTTCTCGATAAATGGGCTATCCAACACTAGATTTTTTTAATTCGAACCAAACGTTTCTGAGATTAGCGCATTCAACTAAACAAACTCTTCAGGTTTATAATACTAGTAAAGATTTTACTTCAAACGTGGTTGACAGCATTTCGCTTCAAATTATGTATGAAGAAAAATTATATCCCCAGTCCATTCGGGAGGGTTAAAGTCAGGCTGGCGGCCTGCCTTAAGAAAAAGCCAAAACTATTTTGCAATGAAATGAAGGACTGTAAAAGGAGAACGGAAGAAGAAAATTCATTGCGACGCCTAATACATTTGTGAAAAGTGTAAGATGATGATTTGTATTTAAAAACTATTAAAGTTTTTTGGAAGAAAAACCAAAGGAGATTAAACTATAAATATCCTAGTCTTTTCTCCCTTTAATTCGTTGAAAAAGTAAAATCATGACTAGCATGTAAATATGTAAGTATGTAACAAATTGGACAACCTGAGATTCTCTTAATAATTTTAAAATTCCCTTCCATATTTAAAGTGATGAAAGGAGAGTTCTATATTTTTTAAACACAGAAAAAAATTGTTCTTATTAATTAGATAGTTGAACCCAACTGTACTAGTTTACACATAATTACGTATTATTTTGTAATAAATAGGTGTACTAAAATATTGTTGTTGTATGTTTTGTATGTTGAAATGTGATTGTAAGTATCATTCATCATAATTGTGCAAATTTTGACGGATATTTAGATTCGACATTAGATATCCTCAATTAGTGTTCGTCGTTTTGTTTTAAATGATTTATTATAAACAATTATTACATAATACTGTTAATATGAATGTATGCACAGGATTACAAAATTATACTAAAATTGATCACTTGAGATTGTTTGTGCAATTTGTAAATAAATATACATATATATATACATATACATATAAAGGTGAAGTGATAAAATTTGAACTTTGTATTGGTTTATTTGTGTACAAAGTGTGTTACAATTCAGCTCGTTATTATTGGAGTGCACGAGTTTATATCCCAGTTTACTTTATAATAATAGTTGATTTGTTTAATAATAATTTTAGGATTTAAACATTAGTCGACAAGTAAATAAGATAAAAAAAGAATATGAAATTAGCTTGCCATAAATGGTAGTATTTGTATACAAAAAAAATCATTTGTGACAAGTGCAAATATAAATTGTATAATAAAATTTAATGTTTTTTAAAAATAAATATAACACAATCATAAACTGTATGTGTACACAGTCCGTGTTATCATTTTATTTTAAAGGTGTTATTTATAAGATAGATATAAATTAGTGGATCATCACTCCATTTGTTTATGTTTAATGAACATGAACAGTGTATGTGCGGCATACAACCCTAATAATCAACAGTAGATATTAAGCTACTTATTGTTTTAGGTGTGTATATAAATATGGTGTCCTATTTTGGTTTGTACATAACCTTGAAGCCAAGCCGCAACTGAAAGAGTAATAAATTTCAGTGTTGGAGATATGTATAAAAATAAGGGAATTATGTATCATACACATACTATAGTTTTTAGAAATTTACTCAAATATATTCCTTAGTAAATATAACTAGTATGTTTTACTTTGATGTCGAGTTATAACGATGTAATGATGCATATAAGGGCGTTTTCCCGCAGTTTCCTGTCCGTAGCCGTAACACTGATATACGTAGCTATAGCCTTCCTCACGAATTAGATATTAAACGTAAAACCAATTTGAGACATACAACAGAGTTATTGGTGAAGATTTCAGTGCGGTCTATAGTTGGTAGGTAAGTGCTGACCAAGCCTTGTGAACTTGCCTTGAAGCCTTGTAAGGCTGTAAACGCACTTGCGGTATGCCATATGGTCGGTCAGCCATTGGTCAGTCGTCAGCCGCAGGCGCAGGTTCCCGCCCAAGTCCGTCGCTAGATGATATAGGTAGGGGATGTTATTCTGAATTTCAATTATCTTGATGTATGTTTGTCATGGATTTAGACACGAAAAAGTTCATTCAGGATGTCAAAGAACGCCCCGCTATATATACATGCTCAATATTTCTAGACGCACTGACTATTGCGACGGACAGCAATAAAACCAAGACTACGCATTGACCGCTTTTAGGCTAACCGCTAGTGCGTTCTTAGCCTTAGCCTTGAGCCGTGTATCGACTGCACGTTCCAAGCCCTCGACTCAGGCGGCGCGGCGATCCAACCCACTGTCGGTTTTTACTCACGCACCAAAAGATTCTCAGCGCGTGGCGCTCGCGCGCCATGTAGAAGGACGTTCGGCTTGTTCGTGCGTGTGCGACAGTGTTTACCATAAGAAGAACGATGCCATAAGCCTTACACAACTGTATGGACAAAAGGAAGTGTTGTGGAACGGCAAATGTTCCAATTGTCACAATCCTCATTATGATATAATTCTGTAAACCACCAAAGCAATTTCGTTTCTTTTAAAAAAAATTATGAGTTATGAAGAAGCCGCTCGCACACCGTCGTCGTCCATGGTGACCCAACGAACATTGGATCAGCAACCACGCGCGGCTACCGCGCTCAGCCGATACACTTGAAAATTTGCCGCGCGCGCCCTGATCGTGCTGCTGGAGCGCTCGAACATGCCGCGCGCCGCGTCCGCGCTCAGTCGATAAAAAGCTTTAGAACGCACTAGCGGTTGAATTTGACAACTTCTAATAATTCATCCATAGAAAGTTTGACCTGAAAGCCCAAAAGATGACATAAACTCCAGCTCTTAAAGCCCTATAGAATTGGACAGCAATCAGAAAAAATACAACCACGCCCGATAATGGGAACGAATACGAGGGATTTTTGGTGTTTTGTTAAGTGTTTCACACATTTCTCCGTATGTTTTTAGGATCCACGTAATCCCCTATTATGAGTATATATATAGTGAGCCTATTGCCGTTTACTGGGCACATTTCCAGACTCCGTGTTGCTACTAAGAATTCGGCAAAACCCAGTAGGTAACTTTTGCCCGACCCAGGATCGAACCGGGAACCGTCAGGACAGCATATGCTAACTACTAGACCACAGAGGCAGTCACTTATATCCGTCTTACATTGTATTATTATATTGTATTATATGTATTTATTTACTGTTAGCGGGACACTTCGCAAAATTTAGGCCTTTAATACATCATTATGTACCCCTTTGACAATGTATTTTGAAAAAAAAATGTAAATCATACAAGTGTTGTCCCATGTAGAGATCGAACCCACAACACTCAATGCAGTGGGCAGTGGCGAGGTGACTACTTCTACTACGCCATCCATGCACTAGCAGCTGATATAGTGTAGGTACTTAGAGTAGTTTTCACTTCACACATCCCGCCAAATGTTCTTACAGTAAGATAACGGTAAAATTATCTTTCTCTTAATCTACCTTAAGGGTAATTAAGCTTGATCGAATTAAGTCACAGGGTAATTAAAATACATCAATATTCACTTTATTATTTTTTATTAAAAACACTTCTGCCTTCGCACGGTGGATAAGTCTTGTATCTCTTTATATGACATAATTTCAATAAGTAATAGTAATTCAGTTTATCTAACTTTATAATATATTAAGTAGGTACATTACTTGTGCAAGAGAATGTAATTAGATAATATTTTGAAATCAAAATTATGATAGTGATATAATACAATACTAAAACAAACAATGTAATATAATGCTGCAAATATAACATTAAAATTAAACAGTTATTTCTTTTGCAGCCCAAATTTTAATAACAATTATACACATACCTACCGCTATCATTGGCATTAAGTATTTAATGTTGTGATGTGCATCCCTTAATGGTATGTAATGGTTTTCTTAAATTGAACATAAAAACTCTTGTTATGTTCTAGTTCATTACGCCCTAGTCCTTTTAAAACTCGATAGAGAAAAATCATTTAATACTTAGCTTAAAAACATTTTTTAATAAGAGAGTATGATATTATTTCGTTAATTTAAATTTTATCTAATTAGCAATAGTGATGATAGTAGGTAAGTCATTCTTCCTTAGAATAAAAAGTTGTAAGCGCTGTCGTATCGTTCATCAGTATCATGAAGATTTGCACATACGTTGCCAGGAATTACCAGGGATTTGTTTTATGCAAAAAGCTAGTTTCTAATAAAATATGATGTGCGTTTAGGCCGGAAAATTTTCTTCATACCTAATATTAGTATCGTAATTAATAAATGAAAATGAAAATAGCAAACACTTTATATGTAGCATGCGTGTGCACCATCCCATAAATTATTTGGCATCAAAGTCATACATTGATTAAGAGTGTGATGCTGAACTGATGTCAGTAATTTTAAACCGTCTTATAGGATCACGCAGTGAAATAGAAGACCACTTTGTTTAAATAATTCTGTTTTATTTTTGGTGGGTCTGGCGACATTGACCTTTATTTGGTTTCTATAAAAATTGTTAGGTAGGTACATGTCCTATGGGCAAGTTTATCGAGATCACGGTCCTATTTAGACCGTGTTCAATTTTTAAACTGAACATTTCAATATATCTGGGTGTACCTACTATGTGAAGACTTCATTCGCATGAAATCCAAAATGAAAAAGCTAAGCTTTGTAGATTTGACACAAAAACATGAAAATCATTCATCATGTATATTGAACAGTTAGGTATTGTGAATGTGGCCCAAAATATCCATAAACGAATTACATGTCTGACGGTTAACTCTCTCACAGCCCCCAGATTTCTGAGGCCTAAGTGCGAGTTTATTTCACTTCTACTCGATCGTCAGCGTGACCGCGTTCGGCGCTATGATTGGCCCGCACTGATATCTCGTCCAATCGCAACGCTAAACGCGCTCGCCGTCAAGAGGGAGTCGATATGAAATAAACTTGCACTCGGCCCTCTGCACGTACTCGGTTAACTTCAACCATTACATCTGAGTACGTACCTATATTTTTTGTACAACTTCAACGTCTAACTTAAGAAATCAGTATTTACTATAATAAAATAAATAATCTTAAATATTATTAAAACTATATATATAGTCTGCTGTGTTACATAGCCGACCGTACCTAATTGAATGCACAAAATTGTATTTCACTATAACTGAATTCTGAACTTAGCCTTTTTAATTTTGGACCTTGGACTACGTGACTAAAATACAATTAAAATATTTAATCTTAAAATTAATATACTTAATAATTCGAATGTTTACGCCTATAGAAGAGGCTACAAACTAAATAATGGTCAATAACTAAAATAAATGTGCAAATAGGTCGGTTACATATTTCCGAAAAAATGCAAAATCTCACTCGAGTCAAGTATATTTATAGAATGTTTACTAACAGACGTCTAGTAACACATTTAAGTTATAAAATGGTTGGAGTTAAGATTGGCGTATTGGCGGAACGTATAAACTACTCATTTAGTGAAGTTATAATTATGTACCTACACCAACTACCTACGTTCCTTCGTGGCACATGCTTCAGTTAATGCAACTTTCCGTTGTTTCAAGATCGTGTAAACGATGTATCTCGCAGAAACATAAATAAGAAAAGTCACATGCTAATGGGATGATCATGTAATGTACATTTGGTTATACCCATTAGTGTCTACCTACCTAATTAGGAAATAATTTAAATACTTAGGTGATTTTCCTCGAGGCAAAAGTAGTAGAAATTATGTGTGAAGAACTAATATCTATTCTGTCTTATTGGGTAGGTACTTCAACACCTCGTAATTTCTGTGCCACATCGTATAAATAATTTAAAAAAATCGTTTGTGCCTTAAAAACTTTACGTTAGTAAATATTCTACATAAAACATGCTCAAGTATTATTACTTACTATGTTTTTCTAGATCCACTAGGATCCATTAAACTTGTCCTTAGTAGATATATTATATTCATAATAGGTAAAAATTAGTGATTAAAAATCAAATTTGGTAACTGATCGCGTAACTGCTGCCAGTTACCAATAGTAATGATCAATCACATCACGTTATTATGTGAATGTTGTAATACTGTGGTAAAACGCATGAGATCGTAAGTTTATATAGAAGAGGAGTGGGCCCTGAATGTTGTTGTTCGTTGTCACCACGCCTCCGTGTAGCGAACGTCGTACTCCTGCAGCTGCGGCAGACGCTGACGCAGGACGTCGAACGCCTCCGCTGATAATTTCGTGCTGTTCAAATTTAATCGGCGCAAGTTTGACAGACCTGCAAGTAAACGGCTTCATAAAAATTGGCACCTACTAATAGAAACTTCACACACAGCAGCCTGATTCAAAACTAGGCAGAGCCTGTGCTATAGTAGCCGGACTGCCGATAAACATACTTAAATATTTCTACATATTACAGATAAATTAACTCCAACACAGACCAAACGATAGTTTGTTTTGTGTGGGAATCGAACCCGGCTTAGCAGTCAGGGTCACTAACCACTGGACCAACAGGCCAGTCGGCCTTGTGAATGATATGATATGCTATTTACTGATCCTAACATATGACGCGCATCATACGTGTACACGACTTACCTGAGAGCGCCTCTATTCCTTTGTCTGAAACGGGTGTTTCGCAGAGATTGAGGACTTGAAGCCGTGGCAAATGCTCAGCTATTAACTGAACACCACTGTCACCAAACTTGGTAGCCCACAGGTTTAGGTACCTTAGTGATGGCAACTGTAGATAAAAATAAATAGGTTAGATGCCGAATCTTGTGAAGAAAAAAACAGAAGTGTAATGTGTAAAAGTGGTAATGAACTCCCTGTTTGAATATTTGTATTGTTTTTGAATATCACTATAATCAATTGATAGTTGAATTGATTATATCCTTATTAACAAGCTATCAAAAATATCCTTTATTAACACTCGAATCGCTGTCTTTATATTCTACTCGACGCAAAACGTTAACAATTGAACAATATGCAAGTCAATAGGTAAACTACTTAAATAGGTTTGTAAACTGATGTCTAACTTGAATTTATATCCAGACAAATCGACAAATGTATCCTGTCAAAATAAACGAATAAGGTTCTTAAGTTTCAAACTAAAGCTTAAATACATATGTCTAAAGTTATACACTTGCCATATTAGATTAGGTACCTTAATAAGATGATGTGCACAGGCACTGGTGACGCTAGTGAAAGCGAGTGACAGGCACTCGAGGTTGCCGAGCGCACCGGCTTCTAACAACGCGGCAACATCCGCGTCTGTTGCGCGGACTGGCAGCGCAAGCCTACGTGGTCCCCCCTCCGCTTGCTAAGGAAACAATCAATATACAAGATATTGTATTATGATATCAATTTCCAAGATTTTTGATAGAAAGGTCGAGGACTGCAATGACGTGGGTAGATATTCCGTTACAGTGCTTACGTTTCACAACTGATACTTGGAAGTTACTTTGACGTCAAACACTACAAAACAAATAACAACTTTTGAAATAAGTACTGATAATATACCTAAATATATGATAAAACCATAAAACACTTTAAATTGATTTAGGCTATTAGTAGTCCTACACAATGTGCTAAAATTGATGATGTCTATTAAATACAATTAACTTTAAAGCACCAAAGCATGACTCATATTAACAACGTATACTACTATACGTACTCTAATGGTGGGATTTTTTAATTTTACTTTTTCATAATTTTTTTTGTAAAGATAAACTAAAAAAATTAAATTCAGTGGAAGAAGTGCTACTTTCTGGATTCAAGTGACCATCACAAAGCTTTTGCAAAGTTATCGTTAAAATTGGCATTTAACTAAATGCCGCTACAAAAATATAGTTACCAAGCGTTGAAGGCTTTGTTGTCTCTCGCACAAATCTTTGTAATATTTTTGACCAAGCTCAGTGCCCTGCAGTGCGGCGATAATCTCCAGTTGTGTTTGTTCTCCACTGGTCACTTCCCATTCCAATATTAAACATAGAGCCTCTAAAGCAGCTGGCTATAATTTCAAAAGTAAAATGTTTAGCAAATACTTATAAATAAATACATATTTAAGGTGTTACTAAATCTATTATGTAATAAGTATTTTATACTTACATGCTCAGTTAGAGCGACTAGTACGAAATCTGGCATCTGTTTGCTCATGCTTTGCAGAAAGCTTTTCCTTTTGCTACAGCAGTTAAGTAGGCTACCAAGCTGTAAATTTTAAGCAAATTAGTAATCCAAACATTTTATAATTTGAAGTATAGGCATACTTACTAAAAAAAAAAAAAAAAATATTTAAAAAAAAATACATTAAAAAAAATATATATATTACCATGTCACCCCAAAGCTGACATAATTCTTCATGTGGCAATGCTAACATGGGATCAGAAGGCGCAGCAGTACGCAGCCATGAAGGCGGGATTAGTCTGGCCGCTCGCGCAGGGGCCACGCAAGAGTGAGCTGCACATCTAGAATCGTGTGCTAGGGTATGAAGTACTTTGCCTAACCGCTTAGCAATACGTGGGCAACTCATAGCAGCTGCGCATAATGGAACCGGTTGCAATACCGCACCGACTACCAACAGCCAGTCTTCATATTCGCACCTGAAACAATGATTTCGCTTTATATTCTTATTTATATAACTGATTTGGAAATCATTATTCGGTATTAATAATAATATCCACTTTACACACACGTCGTCTGACCTCACACTTAGCAGGGCCTGTATGTACTATGGTAATAAGTGGCTGATAAACATACATTTATAAAAACAGCCAGACACAGAAAAAGTCTAAGAGTTACCGTTATTGTAGCTAAGTTATACGGGTACGCACTTTTGCTATATATACAATAATTTGCAAAATGAAGTATATATGTTGAGATAAGAATGTTTTAAACATAAGAAGTTTTGAGAGGTACTCGTATAAACAAAAATATATCAGTAATACTGACATGTGTTCCAGAATATCAGCAAAGCAGAGTACTTCTTCTTCCGCATCATTGCACACATGAGGCGAAATGGTGTCACGATAGTGATCATCTATGGCAGCCAGAGCTACAGCGGTGAGGTTAGGTGCGGCTCGAGGATAGGGACACGCTGCGCGACTGCCGTGTGCCACCTCCACAAATCGACGAACTAGGGAAGTACCCGAGTTATGCGCGCTCAGTGCACTGTGAACAAAGACATATTTTATTAAAGGTTTCTGTTTGTATGTATGTTCGTCCAGGTGTCCTTCCAAAGGTTTCGTTTCAGTGGTTTTTGCAATATGAACTTGAACGTGTAAGTATAACGGCTTACGTCTATAAAAGCAGGAGAAAAAAATAATAATTGAACAATGTTCATGAAATGCAATGCATCAAAAGTAAAACTATGGAAAAGAGCTTCATTATAAAGTCACATAAGTCATTGATGGCTAAAGCCCGTCTGTTTGACTGGGTCACGTATTAATATAAGTATACCTATATACATCGCAATTATATAGACGTCATACTGGTATATAAATTTGATTTTTAAAGTGACATTTGACACTAACAATATTTTCTATTATTAGAAATGGTATAAACTCCCAGTAAAAGGTAATAAACGCAGGAGGGGCATTTTCTCGTGATGTTGATTGGCAATTAAGTTACACACCTAGCTATGAATGATGTAATAAGCAAGGCCAATGGTTATAACATCGACGCTCGTAATATAAACGCTTTCATATATTCTTCAAAATATCAAAAATATCCACCTGCACTTGTAATCGTCAAGTTTTCGTATCGCAATTGTGGCGATAGGTTGTACGTGCACGCTACAATTGTTGTGGTAAAATCCATCATGGAGGATTGGCTAGAGAGGTCCCATGGCAGTCTCTACTACGGGTTGACACAGCTGTTCGGGATCTTTCCTATTTTAGGCGCACCGTGTATTTTTAATCAGTTCAAAAAAAAGATGCTTACTCGATACGGTTACTTCGGTAAGTACTCGTACCTGTGGCGGATAGGCCGGGAGCCATCGTCTGAGTGCTATTACTGCTAAGGCAGTAGCGAGGGTACTGAATTCTCGGCTCTTGGTTTGGGTAGCCTCTCGCTATAGACCATAGTCATGGTAAAAGGGAGAGTGCGTAAGATTCCGCCGTCTTTTTTCCCGAGGAGGTGATGTTGTTGAGATGATTGTTGCTAAAGAGACGGCGGGACGGGAATGGGAGAGGACAAGCACTCTCCCGTCCCCATGCCTCTCTTATCTGGAGGGGGGTTAGGATCTATGATGTGGTCACCAGTTTATCGGGGAGCCTAAGTCTGCAGGGGTTCTCGGTGGTTTCCTTGTTAGGGTGTGTCTGATCCCCTGCAATAGACTCATTAGTCGGGTCGAGTCCTACATACCCCTTCATAAGGCCAGTGACCAGAAAAATATTTTTTATCATGTGAAAACCCCCACTAGTCAGTTTCGACCTAAATACGTACCACGTAACACAGGCGGTGGCAGGGAATCCGCAATGGCTGTTCCTACTCTAAATTATCACATTGTGTTCTTACAATCCTTTGATTTCGAAAAAAACCTATACGAGACGAGAATTAAACTGTTTTTAAGGAAAATTAATATATTACAGCAAAAATTAATACAAACAAAAACATAGATGTTTATCTTTGTATCAATTTTTTCCGAATACAAATAAATGAAATTAAAATGTCTGCTTGTAATGTCAAAATAATAGTTTTTTTTCAAGCCCACACGGTTTTTTGCACGATACCTATAAACCAGTTTAAATATTTTTTGTCTATCTGTCTATTTCTTCCGGGTAATCTCCAAAGCGGCTGGACCGATTTTGATAATATTTTACTGCCAGTTAGCTGTCTATAAAAGAAGAAACTTAGGCATTTTTTTTTAAATAGAAAAACCCCTGTAAAATTTTGCCCGGTCTAGGAATCGAACCCGACGCCTCATTGACTGCAGTTGCCTACAGTATTACACAACTAAGGCAGCACTTTCGTTAGTTATACTTAATAAAAAATTGATAAAAAACTGAACAAAAAATTTTAATTCAAATTCCACGCGAACGAAGTCGCGGGTGCCAGCTAGTAATAAATAAAAACAGAAATAAATACACGTTTTTTTTTAACTACACTACTAGGCATGCCTTTTAAGTTCTGTCGTTTCCATATTTCCGGGCAATTTTGAATTTGGAACTGTTCTATATTCGAATGTGTTGAAATTTTGAATCTCAAAACAGTTGAAAGTATTAGGATTAATGCTATTGTTTAGTCACAGCGTCGATTGGAATCTATCAGGTTACGTACGAAAATGAATCTTTCTAAGGAAAATGTTCGTGCAATAATTTTCTACAACTTTAGAAGAGGCCTGACACGGCTTCAGTGTTTTGAAGAGCTAACATCTGTGTTCAGTGATGAAGCCCCATGTCTGCGGAGTGTCATACGCTCGTATTTAGAATTCCAGCGTGGACATACTAGTGTTAGCGACAAATCTCGCGAAGGATGCCCAAAATCCGCCTTCACTGAAGATAACATCATTGCTGCATCATTGCATCATCATCACTTTAGAGTGGAATAAATGTCATAATAACTGGTTCGAGTGAATGGAAAAGTGTATTAAGCTACGTGGTGAAAAACAATAAAAAGTACCATAAGGTTCTACTTGTGTTTTTTTCTTAAAATGACAAAACTTAAAAGGCCTCGTGTTATCAAACTTTTTAATAGACAATATAATTATGTATGTATATTGTCTGGAGTACAATTATTTAGAAATTAGTTTCACATATGTATGAGTATGTATGTAAGATAGAATAGAAACAGTCATGCGGCCATCTTTTGCTCACCTTTCAAATAACTCCATAACTTTCACTAGCATCATTGCCAATGTCTATTTTGTATTGTCATAGTTTTTAGATCTCGTATTAAAAACAATATTTTTTATCCAAAAAAGAGGAAATTATACAAGTAATAAATTTTGGGCACTACTAATAATTGTCAAGATCACCTTACGGCTTAAGTATTTCCACTTTTTACCTATCTTTAACGGCTTATTAAATTAGCTCACTAATTTTCTTAGTCTTTTATCTTCTAAAGATGGTAAAGTTAAAAGATGATATGTTTCATATTCATTTACTCATATCAGGGACATTGTAGGCCATTATGACGATTAAGGGCAATTAATCCACTGGACTGAAATAAAATGATTTAATGGTCACCAAACTAATACGTTACCATACTTGCTACTGATATGAATAGAAAAAAAATGTTTCTTCAAACATCCTTAGTGTTACTTGCTTCTGCCCACGGCTCCGCCCGCGTGTATGTCGGTAATCGCGGTAAAAAGTAGCCTATGTCCTTTATAAAGAACCAAACTACATATTAGTATGGATTCTACCGAAATGTATTATAGATAATAAATGCAAGTCTTACGCACTTATGCATTGTTCAATATCTTGATGGGTAACTCTCGTCATTTATATATGTCATGTTTTTGTGGCTGCAATGCCAAAAACTTTAAACTGAACTCACTTAAATAAACTTTAATTTCTTAAGAAAAAGGCAATGACTATGATGGTAGTCTTTAAATAAAAAGTAAGGTGTAGACGGCGCGGCAGTTATGGACACAAATGGTTCTCTCACTTTATTCTGAGACCAGTTGTTTCGAAACAGCTTACGTTATAGATTAAAAATATATCGTAAATAAGTCATTTAATATTATTTTGCTATACTATTGATTAGATTGTCCATTTAGAGGTAGATTTTATGGCAATTCTTTACTGTATTTTTTCAAAGAAATGTTTTGGTCACTAATTAATCAAGCTGACAAACTACCTGATATAATCTCTGACAAGTCTTCTGGCGTTGGGTGCTCTAGCGAAATCTACGTTGCGCGTAAGGACGCGGCGCACGGGCGGCGCCAGCGCAGGCAGGGGAGCGGCGCGAGGCCGCCGTCGGCACAACCGCGCTAACAACGCACATAGTTCCCCTGATGCACATCGTTCGGCCAATAGTGGTGCAGCAACACTCGTCACGTTTTCTGCCCACTCCTCCCAATCAGAATTTTCCTTTTTCTGCAAATAATGAACACTGTTAATGTTTGCAGCTTAAATTCAATTTATACAGAAATAATATATAAGCAACAAAAAGTATACTTATACAATTATTTTGATACAACATTTTGCAATTGATAGCTTGTTGATTAGTTTACTTATTAGACGAGAACTATAACCATGAATATCACGGCAAGTACCTAAGCAATCTTACTGTGACGGTCATCATACATCACATTAATTCATTCAATAATGAGTCCCGTGGGGACCGGATATGACAGGGAAAATGAAATATGAATTGAAAACCATACTGGAAGCCTAATCTAAAAAAACACGTTGGTATAAGCAACCGCTTTCAACAGAGCTGGACTGTGAACTGTCTCAATATTCAACTTCGACTCTCCTCCATTCCTTTTATAAATAGGGTTTGTCTACATACAACCAATAGGAATCTTAACGCTACTGGCAATACCGTCTTAAATATGGCACTGAAAAATCTGTTACCCACCTTGCATACGTTGTTCTAAGTCATTTGAAATTTTTATTTCTAAATTTGGTTATGGTAAAAAACGCATCCAAAGAGGTAAAAATGTGTGTTTTAGAATATCCGACAAGATTTTTACCCATGAAAAAGGAGTATATAAATGTATGTAAAAAGCTACGACATACAGAGAAGACGAGTAACCCTTTATTTTTACATGTGGAGACCCTTTTTTTTTTTTTTTTTTTCCGTGCGGAAATCCCCTCGGATCCCCCCTGTCGGTGGCATGTCGGACTCGAACCGACTAAAACCGCACGCCGTCTCGGGTACTAATAGCCGGGGAACCAGGTATACCCTAGAAAGGAAGTCCCTGGTACGACATGTGGAGACCCCTACGGGCCGTCATCCCATTAGTCCAACCAACCAATCATCCCCGTCAACTCGGTGTGCCACTCTGCGCCTTAAATACTTGGGATCTTGGAACAGCTGTTATTAAGACCTCTTTCTTCTTAAGAATCTTTAAGAGAGATTCTTATATGTATATAAAAATAAATTTAATTGTTGAATTTAAGTGTAATCTATGATTTGCTCGTTAACAGAAAAGCAAAGAAACAATGTTCCCGGGGTAAGTAAAAATATTTCCATACGAGCGAACCACGGACAAAAGATAGTATTAAGATATTTTTAATCAGGATCCTATTAAAAACTTAGTTGCTTTAACTGTAGAAAATTCAGATCATAATTCGCCATACCGTTCAAAATGCGATGCTAGATGCCAGTATTTATGAGTAGCTATTGTGGGCTGTTATGATTTTAAATTGCAGATATTTGCGTCTTAAAACTCCCTAGAATCACATTATATGACCTGTTTTGAATTGCAAGGGATATTTTTTGTGATGCACATGTTTATGCGTGTGACGTTAGTTCGAAACTCGTAGATATGGTCAGCAATGAAAATATATTATCAATTTGAACGTTTCGTCAAATCTTAATCCTTAAAGCCTTCGCTGAGATAAACAGTGAAGTATTGAACACAGTTTTTGCCTAAAAGTCTGGAAATTGCACTCTAAATATCTTAATCATTTATGACTGGCTTCAAATAATTAGGAGTTCAATTTCTTTTAGTAGAGGTGAATATTCTTTTTGCAGATTGTACATATTTTACACTTTGTATGAATATAATACGATATAAATTTTATTCATCGCGGTATATTTTTAAGTAATGTCACGTCTCACGTATTATAATGAGGCTCTTGTTGTTGTTGTATATGAGTACTAAAATGACATTATTATTGAAGTTCATTCGTATTTCTGATGTGTTGCTCTCTTTTTTATAAAAATCTATCTTCCGCTATTCCCTATACCCAGAATCCGCTATAGACGTAACTTTACAACAAAAGCAGAAACAGCTAAATGAAGTTATCTAAATGTACATTTCTGTACGCATATCATATGTTGAGGGTATCACATCTGTTATACGAACGTAAATATTTGAGCACGTGTAGTGCGCATGATAAGAAATCTAATAACTGGAATAACATTGGATTTAAGTCATAAAATGAATTCGATTATTTGTAGCAAAAATTTTCCTGTAGGTAAATGTTTGTTGAATGTACCAAGATGTTAATATCATCAATTGAGTGTCTGTATCTACAGCTATCTACTGATCGTCTGCGTCAGAGGACTATGTTTATATGAGAATATCACGACTACTCATACCTATAGAACATTCGTATGAAACGATCAACACATGCCGATGTTATTCACATTGAAATTCACGACTTGATAGGTTTTGGACTAACAGTGTCAGCAAAATGTATTATTATTTGCTTTCCTTTGGAACTTAATAATACAAGTACACAATTCATAAATCCAACACCGTAAATAGGATTGGGTGATAGGTCTATTTACGTACGATCGCTTGTAGTGGCTATTTGAGAATCATGTCAGGTTTTGACGAATTTAGCTTATGCGCAATTACCTCTGAGAGTAAATCGGTGAGTATCTGCAAAGGTGCTCGCGTCACACTATCGTCCTGTAAGGGCGTAGTCATTACGAAATCAACCATATTCTGAAATGAAGCAAAATATATTCGATGAAATGCTAATTAAAACAACTACTTAAAAACACAAGGTTGTATGTATGCCATATTTATTTACCTTTAATTCCTTTAAGACGACTTCCTTTCTTACAGTCTTTGTGAGAAAATTCCTATACCTTATTATGTTTCTCTGAAAATAAATATATTTATTAAAATATAAATGTCTACCTAAGTAAACAATTAACCGCAACGAGGAAGGATGTCCATTAATGCATGCTTACCTTCCATATTATAGAATGATACCATTGGTCCCTCGTATAAGCGTCATTTGCCTATAAAACATAAATATCATTACGTATCATTAAAGAAGATTTATAAGGGAGTGATAATTCTCTAATCGTTATTGGCATATCACGGCCATCCTTTCGATTTCTATGCCGGGCTATAAGGAGATCTTACAAAACGTCAGACAAAAATAATATATCAGTTGTTTTACGACGAAGGAAAACATCAGGAATAAACTATACAAATCTCTCCAATGAAATGATGTATATCAAAATTTAAGTTCCTCATCTTAATGTAAGTATTTTCGTTGTTAGTTTAAGTATTATGTAGCATACAATTTAATACTAGTAGATGCTGATACCCGCGACTTCGTTCGCGTGGAATTTAAAGTTTAAAAAAAAATAGCCTAAGTTACTCCATATATAGACAGCTACCTGGTATTAAAATATTATCAAAATCAGTCCAGCCGTTTAAAAGATTACCCGGACAGACAGACAAACTGGTTTTTAGGCATTGGTATCGTGCAAATAACCGTGTGAGCATAAGAAACCTATTATTCTATTATTACAAACAGTCACTTCAATTTTATTTATTTGTTTAGATGTTTAGTTGGTTTGTATACGCTTCGAAAACTCAAAAAGTTCTTCACCCGATTCGTAGATTGTTTTTACCTATTTTCGCCTTATTTTTTTCCTTATTTCTTATCAATGCAACCACAATGTGCCACAGCGAAGCGTGGCAGGGTACATCTAGTCATATAGATAGGTATATAATCGATGGTAAACCCTTCGCTTCGATTTAATAAACTTCTTTGTTTGATCGAAGCTCATCAGCCTCTATTTAAACGAACTTCTAAAAATGTAGAAGACAATGTTGGTTTGTTTATTTATACACGTGAATGAATTATGTTAGAATATATTATCACTATGTCCAGCAGTGGACTGCGATAGGCTGATGATGTGTGTGATGTGATATTATCACTCTCCTTACATGATTCTAGTATTATTTTATACAAATAATTACATTAAATATTAGGTATTTTTTTTGTAAAGGTACCTGCAAGAGCAGCGATCCGTGGGGCATTACTATTCTGAGGCAGTATTTCCTGGCGGGATCCCAACGAGAGATACAGTATATTTCTTGCATACAGCTATACGAGAGAGGATTCTCTAGTAGTCCCGAAGGCTGAAACAACGAAAAATACAGTTTTATTATTTTACCCTTTAATTGTTAATTGGTGTTCGCGTAATAGTTTATAGGATACTAGCTGTATGCCGGTTATCGCAGTAAAAAGTAGCCTATGTCCCTCCTCAAGAATCATCCAAATTTCATTAAAATCTGTTCATCGGTTTAGCCGTGAAAGCGTAACAGATAGACACAGAGTAACTTTTACAATATTAGTATTAGATAGATCTAAATGGATAGATATTTGTATCTTATCCAACTAACATACATCTCAAATAACTGCCTAAAAAAAATAAAAAAGTCGAAAATAATTTGACTATGGCGTAGTGGTTTAGGCGGTTGCCAGACCGCTTTCTACTGCGTTGAATGTTGTGGGTTTGATCTCCACAGGGGACAACACTGTGTGTGATAGACAAATTGTAGTTCTGAGTCTGGGTGTTCTTTGTGTACGTTTTCATGTATGTTTTGTAAAGTCCCCCGCGGCACAGGGTTTATTCATAATGCGGGAGTTAAAGACATTATAAAAAAAGCTACCTATCCGTATCTATATTATCCCTTACAATTATTCGTAATTACAATAATATCTGTTTAATAATTTAAATATTGTACTACTTGTAAATTTTATATTGTACTCTATTTTATTAAGTTACTATTACAAAGGTACACACAGTCTACTACACTATAATAATAAATAATTATAAAACTATTTGCGTTGCGACCTCATTTCTTTTGGTAGGTAGTAAAGTGTATTATATGACACATTGTTATAAATTACACTGAGTCTACCTTATATTATCTATTTACCATTTATGACAAAGAGAAATAAAGTTACTTTTACAGTTTGTATATATAGAAAACGAAACTGAATTGAAACGAAATTTGGAACTATATCTGTGTGCTAATGTTCTTAAATCACGGGTTCAAAGTAACGTCATTTGTAAATATATATTGTTCTTTTAGTACTCTTAGATACGAAACAACGAAGTTACAGTGGTTCATAAATGATCTGAATGGCTTCGAAAAAAGGAAGGTAGGTGTGACTTTTATTTTTTTCTCGACTTGGCGGGGGCACTGCTTTGCGTCAAGATTTGATACGTCTTAAATATAATTTAGAACTCTTTTATACGTCTACATCACAATTATGTAAAGATATTGAGATTAATAAATGGATTGATTGTTTGCCTCAATACTTATTATCACGTGATAAGTTAGGGTAGGGTGAGATTAATGGATTTACCTACGTCGTGACGATCTCGCCAGAGACCTACAATAACAATTCATTTTATTCGATATAGGTACCGTAACCGTGCAGTGTGGTACAGCAGACGTAGCGCTGTAAATACATCTCGAACACTGTACCCTATCAATAGTACTATAGCGTTGTAGTGCAATGTGCACATGGTCCTATGTAGCCGCCGACATTTTGAAGAGAGCTTTAAATAGAAGTCAACCCATTCACGTTTCTATCTAGTGTAGATGGATTCGATGCTGGAAATTAGGTCAATTATAGAAAAGGGCACAACCATTACTTGGCGTGAAAAATAGTTGTAGGCGGGACGTGGCAGAGCATTGCTCCTGCGCGAGTCGCAGTCGCGGGGCCGCAGCTGGCCGCTCAACTCCGTGACGTCACAACGTCAGCTGCACACAGCCTGTCTTGCCTCTTTAGTTTTCCTTAACGATTCGACAGAACAAATAATAATTGGGCCCATTATGCGCATTCGTATCTTATTATTGCACATACATAAATGAAATGGAAACCGGTTTAACCCGGGATTCGTCGTTAGGGAGTTACGAACACAAACGGTCGCCATGGGTCTCGTATTAATAGTTCCCTATTTCAGTACATCGTTTTTATATTAAAAGTTATGCGATTTTTTTGTTTGTTAACACTTTTATTAAAAATAATAGTGATGTCAAAGGGTAATGCATATTATGTACTTTTAATTAAATATAATTAAGATTTCAATTGAAATCTCAGATCTCAGAAATGAATTTTGGTGGCTCTCAGGTAGGTACTCGTATTCATCCAATCCTTAGGTATTTAAGAGCCACGCTGACCAAACGGGTTGTATAGTGTTTGTGTCAAGTGTTCCTTCTCTTTGCAGTGCTTTTGCCTTCAGTAGTTTGCTTCCGTAAGCGGCTCTTACGGCACCCACGGCATGAATAGCGGTGGTGACACGTCCTATTCTTAATCCGTCACCACACGGTCTCGATACGAAAAAAAATATTGCATACAATGAAACAAGGTTAATATTATTTTAAATGTGACTTTGGATAGTTTTAAAAAAAAACAATAAAATGAGAACAACGAAATTATCGAAACGAATATCCTCCCACGCAATCCGAGGGAGCTCTTAATTGTAGGTCTCTTGAATTGCAGGTCTATGGAAGGTTCACCAGGGACTTCCTTTCTAGGGTATACCTGGTTCCCCGGCTATTAGTACCCGAGACGGCGTGCGGTTTTAGTCGGTTCGAGTCCGACATGCCACCGACAGGTGGTATCCGAGGGGATTTCCTCACGGAAAAAAAAAAGGTCTATGGAAGGCGGAAGTCACTTACTATTAAGTGATCCGTTTTCTCGTTTATCCCCATACCTACGCCATGTAAAATAGAGTTATTCTTTTAAAAGTATTTAAGGTAACTAGGTAACTAATTTACGAATCCCCTGCGACTTTTTATTACGCTAGCTCAAAAGGTATAAATCTATGATAAAAAGAGTTTTGATTGATTGTAATGGCATTTATTTTTGTCTATGACCATTTGGTCATATCACAGTTGAAATCGCTGTGACTAAAACCAATCGTTTCATCATATGTATATGATTAAAAAGTAGCAATAATTTCCATGTCTAGCTGACACAGTTAAATAGGTCTGTCATTTCACTTAGACTAATCTAAGTGAAATGAAATAGTGTCATCTAGACTCAATCAACTAGTATTGATTTTTACCCAAGTAAAGAAGTAATCGGTATCATTATCTAATAAAAATATTGTAATGCACTACTTTTAAACACTATTATCGTGAATGTATAAAAAAAAAACAATCTAGGGAAAATGCCACTCGCTGTATTTAATTTAATGTAAACGAGCATGCTTTGACGTCAGAGATAAATGATAATTTTTTTAATTTATATAATTAACCAGGCTTAAATTACCATATGCCATGGAAATAAAACTGGCATAAAAAATAAGCATTCTATTTCATTCATTGACGTCATAGAATGGTAATGTAATATTAGTTGACTAACTTTATTATTTTATACGTTACAGATAATAAACAATGTAATGCCAAACACGAGGCATTCCGTCTAAAACTCTAAACTGATATTTGAATCTGAAGCAACTTTATTTGAGTTACTTTACTTTGAGCGATTTTAACATAATGTTGGGCCATAGGATTAAATAGTTCTAGTATCGAGTCATTGATATACATTACACTAGATAAGTAATTACTGCTCAAAAGCGTTGCCACTGCACATTTGTCCACAGCTATATGCGCAGCAAACGTCAGTTCAATGTTCAATGTGGCACCAACCGAGTTCAACATAGCGACACGTGAAAATAACAATCGCCAAAATAGATAGGCTTAGTGAAATAATTCGATTCAAGGTAACAAAACAGTCGGGCAGGCCGTTATTGCGGCGGTAAGACCCGTTATGGAGCATTGGCTCGAAAGGCGTCACGGAACCCTCTCATACCGGCTCACGCAGGTGATCACCGGGAAAGGTTGTTTCGGAGATCACTTGTGTCTGATCCGCAATGAGCCAACGCCTGAGTGCCACCACTGCGGTGGCCGGACCGTGGACACGGACCTCTACACGTTGGCAGAATGCCCGGCGTGGGTGGAGCAGAAGCGTGACCTCGTGGTGGCCATCGGAGTGGGAGTCCTCTCGCTCGGTAGTATGATTGCCGCCATGGTACCGAGCGAGAGAGCGTGGAACTCCGCCGTCTCTTTCTGCGAGCAAGTTATGCTTGCAAAGGACATGGCGGAGCGAGACCGGGAGTGGTTTAGAACTCTCGCGGCCCGCCAGGCCCGGGAACGGGCCAGGTACCGCAGACGGCTCGGGCGCCGGAGGTCGTAGAACGACCTCCGTCTTCCATAAGCGGATTCCTGGGAGTGACAGGTGAGGCCATCTGTCACCCTAGCAGAAGCAGGCCTTAGTGGAGGCGAGACGCGCTGCTAAGCGCGCGCGCCCTTTCGGGAGCACAAATGGAACATTTATTTATTTATTAGTATCCACACTTATTACTATCATATATATAACATGGGCGTTCCCACACAGGAGGGGGTCATCTACGTGTACGTCGGGGTACGAGAGATTTCCTTTCTAGGGTACACCTGGTTCTCCGGCTACTAGTACCCGATACGGCGTGCGGTTTTTGGTCCGGTGGGTGACATCCGAGGGGATTTCCGCGCAGGTTTTTTTTTTAACAAAACCGTAATGTATCAAGCATAATTACTTTCCAAACGTAAGTGGATGGTTTATGTATGGATAATAACGTGAATATGGCTATAATTGAATTAAAAAATTAATAATTGTAATTTAGACTTAGTGCTGCCATTAAAACATCGTTTTGGTTTTCCCACATCAGTGGGAGAATTTGTAATTTATGAAATAATATGGTTTGTACTGTTTTTAAATATTCTGGCAATAATAATAAAATATATTAAGAATGGACATGAAGGGTAGTTGATAGGGCTGGACCGATCTCCTTTTTTAGGGACCGATTGAACGATCACCTCCTTCCAAGCTCGCAGTACTGGAAACTTTTGTACAAGAGAAATATGTTTACTTTCAAATATTTAGTGGTATCAAAGCTGCGACGTCACAGTTCAATAGTGGTTACACTTTTTTCGACGTGTGGTAATGAGGTTTGCTTCTCTAGTTGTTTAACTCAATGTATTGAGCAGTCAGTTCACTTGAGACACTGCGCCATCTAGTATCGAGTTACGCACAACAA